CCAAATGAAGCCTCGCGCCTCAGGCGGGGATCTCAAATGCTCCTCTGTGCATCTATCTGGTCCATCTGATGAAATCTGTATGTGGATGTTCCCACTTTAATAGGTTTTTGTTTGCTTCATCTAATTTCAGAAACAGTGATTTCCATTTTTATGTCTCAAGATTAACTGGGAGATGAAAACGTGTTTTTACCTTCTTCTGCAAATTCCTCAGATTTGTGTGTTTATTCAGAAAACTTTCTCATAAAGAGGTGAACCCCCACTTCTTTTGTGGCTCCCTGCAGGGACAAGCCATCCCTCTGCGCACACACTGAGCTGAGCCCTTGCGAGGTAGCGGGTGGTGGTGCCAAGTCATGGTGCCTGCAGGGGTGTGTCCTGCCGCCCACCTGAGTCTTCCGGATGGCGGGCTGCTGCTGGATGCCAGGTGGGCAACGTCTAGTGAGCACAGTGCCGGAGTCAACAGCAGGGAGTGTGCCCCCAGAGAAGCATCCCCCAAAACCCTCATCCACCCAGAACGGAAGAACAGGCCTTATTTGGAAACGCTGTCTTTGCAGGTGTCACGGGTGAAGATGAGGCCATAGTGCAGCAGGGAGACCCCACCAGTGGCTGGTGTCCTCACAGGAAGGCCATGTGAGGACACTCAGGGACAGGAAGGCCAGCGAGCACCGGGGCAGACATGGGTGATGGTCTGCAAACCCAGGCCCCCCAGCTTGTCCGCAGGCCAGGGGGCTTGTTCGTGCCTTCCGAGAGAGGGAGCCAGGGGCCCCGAGGACACCCCAACTTCAGACTTCTGGCCCAAGAGCGGGCGGTGCTGTGTTCTAAGCCCCTCCAGTCTGGGGTGGCTCGTTCAGACAGCACCAGGAAACCGTGCCTTTCCTCTCTGGACTCCCAGGTATCTGCGGCCACTGTAAATCACCAACCTCGCTGTGGGAGGGGGCAGGTGCCCAACACGTCCACCTGAAACCAAGGTGACTGTCACACACGTATACACTAAGTCCAAAAACATGAGCCCATTTCTGGAGTGCCCGACCCAGGGGGACCCCTGCCTCATGACGCAGGAGTCAGGGGCTCACAGATGATGTCATCCAGAACCCCGCACCCCCTGCCCCGGATGCTCCTGGTGGATGACATCACTCTGGCCCCATGAGCCCCCCATGCTCTGCCTGATGACATCATCCAGGCCCCACACCCCATGCTCCACATGTGACATCATCCAACCTCCCCCAGGCTTCGCACATTCATGTCACCCAACCGCACCATAATGCTCTGCATGATGTCCTGACTCCACGACCCCAAACTTCATGTGGATGACATCATCCAGGCCCCGAACCCCTGCGTGATGACGTTATGCAACCCCTAGTCCCAATGTTCCACTTGATGACATCACCAGCCCCGCCCATATGCCGTGCGATGTCATCCAGGCCCGCCCCCATATTCTCCCTGATGACATCACCTGCCCCGCCTCCACCCCATGCTCCACCCTTGGGGTGCGGGGCTCGCTGGCTGCGGAATCACAGGCACCTGGGATGCGTCACCCCTTTAGCCTCAGTGTCCAGGACTATGGTGTCTGCCAGGTAATGTTGAGGGCTAGTGTGACTTCGGGGCGCCCCACGTGAACTCCGCACTCCAGCTTCTGCAGCCTGATGGGAACAGTGGCCTTTCTGGCTCCGAAGTTCCCGAACCACCATGCTCATAGGACGTTATCTCCCCAGAAAACCATATGTAAACAGAAGGGTTCTGGTTTATTACATGAGAAGGACAGCAAGGATGGTGGGGGTCACCCAAACTGCATTCCCAAACGGCCAGTGTTTCAGTGAGCGAGGGGGGCTGCAACACACGGGCGTCCTGCAGATTCCAGCTAGCGGCTCCTCATGGGGCCGCGCCCCTGCACCTGCACCGGTCCAGATGGGGCACAGTCAGCACAGCCATGGTCAATACGCCACAGTCCACACAGTCACTTCCAATGGTTTCAGTTAGCGCACTGAATCAAGCAAGAGAAACAATCTCCTAGGCCCTGGTTTGGTAAAATTTGCCTGATGGTCATGCACGAACATGCGCTATATTTGAGGATATGAGTTTCTTTACCGTATGAGCTGCCAATATGTTCCCCAGTCTTCGACTTTTCTGTTTTAAAGAAAACTCAACTACAATTGTAATGCACTACAGGGAAAAGAAAATGAAAAAATGAATTCTTTCAAAAAGAAACAGAACCATGCAAGAGTTGGGAATAAGGAGCAGAATAAGATGATAGTTTACACCTAAGTATTTTACATTACATAAAAATGGACTGAAATCTCCAGTTAGAACACAAAGAATTTTAAATTGGGTAGCAAAAATCCACCTACATTCTATTTTCAGGACACAATAAAAATACAAGGATACATTCATGTTGAAAATAAAAGGACTAAAAACACAGAACATGCAAATACCAACCTAAAGAAGTTGGTGGGGCCAAATTAAAAGCAAAACAGACCTGGAAGCAGAACGTTTTCCTAGAGATGAACATAATCGCTTCATAATTGTAAGAGGTTCAATTCAGTGAACAGGCCGTTTTAAGTCTGAGGAAATGAACGGCAGAGCCCCAGACATCCTTCTTTAAAAAGGGAAACAAGAAAGAAGACAGAGAACTTGGTGGAGGAGCACCCGAGCCCACATCTGGGGGCAGCTCCCACCGGCCACGCTGCACCTGCCCGAGGGTGTCAGCCCCTGCAAGCCAGGGCGCTCAGAGCAGCCAGCCACGAAACGGACCGTCAAGCAAGTCTCAATCAACAGATTTCAAAGCATGGAATCATACAGAACATGTTCTCAGACTAGGCTACAAATTGCTAAGAGCAGAATATTCCCATCTACTTGGCCACTAATAATTACACGCTTATATTTAAAACTGAAGAGTAATGAAAATACAACCCATCAAAACAATGGGGTGTAGCTAAAGCAGAGATTAGGGTGAATTTCATAGCATTAAATACTCATGAGAAGAGGAATGCTGAAATTTAACACAGTAAAACCACCACCTTGAGAAGTTAGGAGAACTTCAAAATAAACAGCAAGAACATAGAAATCAAAGGTAATGGACAGAAGGTAATCAAACAAAAACCAAAAATACAGCCAAGCAGATGGACAAACCAAAGACTGCTAAGTGGTCGATGAACCTCTGGAGAGACCCAGCCAGAAGAAAAACCAAAAAGGCACACTAACCCCTCAGGAGGGGAAGCCACTGCAGGTGGTGAAGCGCCGATGAGATGTCAAGAAAGCACTCTCAACAGCTTTACACAAGGACCCGTGAAAATCTAGGTAAAACGGCTAGACATCAAGAAAAAAAATACAAAGCACCAAAACCGGCTCAAGGAGAAACGTGAATGCACTAGCAGCTCACAGGGGAGCAAACCCTGACACCAAGACTCAGGACAGAGAAAAGGAAGTGCTTAAAAAGCCTCATCCAAGCCTAAACGTAGATTCGGAAGGCCCAAACCACAAGAGGCCCCATAGGAAAAGGATTCCAGACCAGGAGTGAGCGGGGCCTCTCCGGGCAAAGGAATGGTTTCACTTTAGAAAATCAGAGTAATTCACAATGTCACATATTTAATGGAAAAAGCATCACATTCCAACAGATGGAGAAAGGTTTGGTAGAACTCCACATCCACTCAAGTTTAAAATCTTGGCTAGTAGGACAGAAGGCCCAACTGCAACCAGCAACTCGGCCGGGGGACCCCTCCCACGGGTGTCCCAGCTGTCTGCCACCCTCCAGCCCCCACAGGTCCAGGCATGTGCTGGTCAGGGCCGCTCCCTTGGCAGGCCCCACGCCACTCAGGTGCAGCTCAGACAGGGCTCTGCAGCTCCTGGACACCAAGGCCACGTGACGTCCCTCCTGTGTTCACCCTGCTCCTAACCAGACCGCCAGCCCCTTCCAGCTCCCCCCCCACACTGACCCCAGGGTCACTTGGCCCCTTTCCCCCCACCCTACGCCCCTCCTCTGACGCTGGCTCAGAGGCACTTCTGCTGGAAGAGCCTCATGAGGACCCACTGCGCGCCCCCAGGTGTGCCCAGAGTGTGAACTGGGGCGCACAATCGGCAGGCCTCACCCACCACCTCCCCTTGCCCCGAGGCCTGGGCTGGCCCCACAAGGGGTCCAGGAGGGGCTCTGCACTCTCCGTGCCCACGAAGCATTCCCCTCAGGATGGGTGACCGTTCTAGGCTAGTGATGCTCTTCACTGTCTCCAGCTCCTAGGAATGAAAAGTTGCATGTCGTTCTGATAACGCCTCCATTAGGTAATCTGTTCTTTCATCTGGAAGCTCAAGTCGTTTTCTCTAGACCCTACAGTTTGGAGCTTACAATTCTCCAGAATCAGAATATCCGTAGCTGTGTCCTCACCAGTCTTGCTGGGATGCTGGTGTGTCCGCGCAGGTTTCCCTTGGGCTCCCTTCCCTCCTTGGGCTAACAGCGCCTCACCTTGTGTTGCCCCATCACTGCCTCCACCTGGACCCCACGTACCGCGTGTCAGGGCTCGTGGACACTCTACCCAGCCCCCTTTCCCTTCCCTCTGAAGTCCTACTGTTACTCTTCTGTTACCTGACTGCTCTGTTAACTACGCAGATTACCCTGAATCTGGCCTGCATGGCACTGTTAATACAGATGCTTCCCGGGCTTTAAGATTCTGCATTTCACCCAAAACAAGAGGACAGAAGGGAAGTGTCACCGCAGGTAAGTGGTGGGGGGTGGGGAGCACATGCTTTCAGAGCATGGAAGCCTGAGCCCAGCGCCAGAGCCTGGGGGAGCCCTAAGCTTGATGAACCTCCGTTCTGCAGCATCAGAGCAGTCCTTCCCCCTCCCGTCCCTGAGCCGAGTGTGGCCGTCGCGTGGAGCAAGGACGTGCTGCAGAAGGGCTGGCACGCACCTCGGGGGAGGACCCCGCCTTGGTCTGCACCTGCGAGTGCACCTTCGTGTTCCAACGTCAGTTCTCTGAGAGAAACAAGCATGTGGCTCGCCATCCGTGATGACAACACCGTTTATTCGGCCCCAGCAAGAGGCTCTGTTGTATGTTCATGCCGAGCGGCCCGTACGCATGGCCCCCGGGACCACGACGCACGTCATGCTAGTGATGATGATGTCTGAACTGCAGTCCACAGTAGCCACACGTCCCCGTCTTTGTTTCCTTGTCCTGAAAAGATTCGAGAAGAAAGATCTCACATCTCCATATTCTGCTGCCATCTAAACACGTTTAGACATCACACAGGAAAGTGGGCACAGAATTTGAAATACAACCTCAGCTAGACACGGCTGAAATCCTGAGGTCGCGCCAGAACTGAGAACCATTGCAGCACCGGGCCCGGGTCTGACTCTGGCTCCACGATGGCTCGCGGGCAGCCGCGGGCGGTGGCCTGAACCCCGGCTCCGGCCCCAGAACACGTGGTCATCTCAAAGGACCGCCACAAGGACAAGTCTTCTGGCCTTAGCTCAGTGCCCGTCTACTCCCGTGGCCCAGGAGGGCCGAGGGTTCACCCTGAACCCAGAATTCAATGGACTGGAGCAGGTGGAGCGCTGCGCAGAGGCCTGCCACCCCCAAGGCCAGGGTCTGGTCTGGGCACGCTCAGCCCACTAGCAGACGGGGCGCTGGGGTGCTGCTGACTTCTCGCCGCTGTGTCCACCCCCTGCTCTAACGTCCCGGGTCCTCCCCTCTCCAAGGCTCTGTGGGTGCACAGACTCCAAAAGGAGGTTCCAGGAAGACCGAGCCCGTGTGTGTGGAAGAAAGTGGACAGTCCGTGCTGGTAACACTAAGTATGTCCCAGAGCACCTCACGGCACGTCCCAGTGGAAAGGGTGCCCTTCACACGGTCCCTACTGCGCGGTCTGTAGGGAAGGTCAGAACCAGCACTGCAAGGGCCACACGGAACGGGACAGCTTAGACTAGGGCAGCAAGGACAGGTGACACAGTACCAGGTTTATGTACACTTTCGGGTGGCCAAGAGCCCCCCCGCCGCCGTCACACGCGATCACACGATCTCCAACTTCACTCACGGGCTGCTCAGCTATCAAATCAATGGCAAAGTTTTCATTCACCTAGAACAAGATGAAAAGAAGAACTCATGAAGCCAAGGACAAAAGCTAGATAATTTCATGGAATTTAAGTTTATGTAGACAACGCCCCCCACACTCTCAGGTCCTACCTGCACAGGCACATTCCATACGTTCTCGTCTATTATTGCTGCAGATCTTCAAATTACACACATAATACACGCACCCACACGCACGTGTAACTTTCCATTTGGATACAATTTCACATTTACAGAAACGGTGCAGGAACCAGACTACAAACACTCCTCCCTGGTCTGTACCTAATGTGCAGACCAGACCCCTCGCACTGTACCGTGGCTTTAGCACCGGCTCTGTTCCTGGACCCGTGCCTCGCTCCGCCCGCTGGGACACGTGAGGAATGACACGGAGACGGGCGCCCAGGGCTGACTGTCCGCGCCAGCAGAGGCCCCTCCGCGGTCACAGGGGCAAGGAAGCTCTGGTAGACACCCACGGCCACGTCCACACCTAACAGGACAATACGGGACAACCCGGGACACTGGAGGGATGACGGGGTTGCAACTGCAGGGACCAAAACCCAACAAATATGCTGAAATCTGTGATTTCACAAATTTTAAAATTCAAGAAATACCTCACCATAGGGAATGACCTCATTTTAAAAACTGGTAAACAAAAGGAAAAAATCGATATTCCTTCTACTTTCTTCTGGCTAACCAAAGTGTCTTTCCGCAAGTGGGAAGACAGCATTGCCCTCCACCCCGTGCGGAGACGCTCGGCCACTGCCCCAGAACCCGCACCAAGCCTCGATGGAAGCGCCCTACGCCGCCACGCAGTAATCTCAGCACAGAGGACCCGAGTCTGACCTGACAAGTCTGATCTGACGGAGCTGCTACAGCCAACCCCGGTTCCACACCCCAGGAACGAAGGCACCAAACCCCACGAAGGGCCCAGCTGTGGGAGACTCCACAGGAGAAAATGACCCGGGTCCTTTGACAGGTGAGTTCCAAGGAGGTAAAGGGAGAGTTTGTATGTGTCTGGGGGGAGGGGGCGACACCTAAAAGTTAGAAGAAACATAGACACTTCAGCAACTGCAACGCATGAAGCTTATCTGTATTCTGAGTCAAAAAAATTTTTTTACTATGACACAATCAAGAATATTTACCACCCACTAGATACTTAACTTAAAGATCGCTGTAATCTCCAGTGTGATACTGATGCTGTAGTCACATTAGCACCTCCTGGGGATCCATATGCACTGGGGAACTCGATTCAATGGAACCATGTCAGCGACCCACTTCAAGACGGCTGGCGTTGGCGGGGAGCAGGGTGTAGGTGGATCTGAGCAGAAACCAGCATGGCCGCCTTGGGAAGTCTCTTGGTTGGTAACCACTGGATCAGAATGGGCTCACGGGACGACCATGATTCTATTCCCTCCACCTCGTGAACTCTGTTTTGTTAAACAGCAATTCAAACATCCCGGCTGGGCAAATAATGTGTCTTACAACAAGCTACTGTGGCAAAGGGGACCCAGGCCAGGAGACCTGTCTTGTTGTATCTCACCCGTCGTGAGCCAGGCACTCACAAAGTAACGTGCCCCACAGCACTGTTACGGAGCCGAGTCCCGTGTCCCACCATGGTGGGCCAGCCCACACCATGTGCTGCAGCTTCCCGCCCCGGAGAGCCACGCAAATCCAGGAAGGACATCCAGAGGCGTTTCCCTGCTCCAACAGTCTGTGCTCCCCGAAGCCGTCCGCAGCAATCAGTCATGCTCTGACCACGCTCTCAGCCGTCAGCAGAGAGAGCTTTGTGTCCCGCACTCGGGCTCCCAAGGAGCAGCTCGCTTGATGGCACCTCAGACCTAGCGTCACCATCAACCCACCCAGGGTGGAAAGCAATGGCAAGACCACATCTGGGAAGTCACCCGCTTCTGGAAGCTGGAGGGTCATCTGATTGCAGCACATGGTATGGGACGAATGCCATTAGAGGGGGAACGTCACACTTCCTGGCAGACGTCCCTGCAACTACGACGGAGAGTGACACCACGTGCACACAAGACAGGAAGCGGAGGCTACACACAGAGAAGTAAGCGCTGCCCAGGCTACTCTGCCATCTGCTTGGTGAGAACCTCAGTGCTGTGCGTACCTGACAGCGAGAACTGCCGTGCAGGGCAGTCCTGGCCACCGGGGCCCAGCTGGGTGCCCGCCCTGCGTGCCCAGAGCCCCACCTCCATAGAGAGGCCCCACCTGAAAGAAGACAAGGAAACAAGGATCGGACATGGATCAATCTTTACGAATAAAGGGCGGCTGGGACATCTGAATTTTAATAAAACCTGGAAATAAGTTAGAAAGGCACAGTCAACCTCAGTTAACAGTTTTTCTAAAGCCAGCAGACTCCATCCAGAGGACACGCGACCCAGCGCGGCCCAGCCCCTCACTCTTCCGCGGAAACAGATGGCCTCGCCTGCCATCAACACAGAGGAGGACGCCCCAGAACCACAGAATGTGGACATTCTGGAAAAATTTAATTATTTTTAAACAGGTTTATAGCCTCAGACCATGATTTTGTGAAGTTTTATTCCCACAGACACAGCAGGAGGATCCTGGGAAGTACGGCTACCTTAGAGGCTACAGGCTGCATGTGCCGCGCGGCCGGGCAGGGAGGCCGGGCTGTCCCACAGGCTCCTCTAAGCACAGTGGCCCCTACAGACAGGCTGGCCGCTCCCCTTACACCTGAACCTTACTTGGGCTGTGGAGGGAGCGAAGTCCCGCTCACCTCTGCTACACACAGAGCCACGCAACCCATAAATGAAGCCTCATGGTGTAACACACGACGGCGTCTACCTAAGTGACAAACCCCCGGGCCCCATCACGGCAGTCAGACAGACCATCATCTCCCACGGGAAGGACGGCTGACACCCGAGACTGACACAGGACTGCCCCCCTGTCACTCGGCTCCAGGCTGACCCTGACCTTCAGCGATGAACGTCTCGTTCCCGGGGTTCGGTTCAACTGCAGGCGTACGAAAAGCCCCGGAGCCAGCACGTGTCCAGCAGCCAACTGCAGGTGACAGCTCAGGGCTCCATCTTGCCGCCGTCACCGGGCCTCAGGAGGGCACGGGCGCAGACGCACGTCCCAGCGCCCCACGCTCTTGCCTCGGCTGTCAGCACAGTGGGTTCCAGGCAGACGGTGTCACAGGCCCTAAACTGTGCAATGGCTGTACAACTGTCCTTTATACACCACCAACGGAACAAATGGGAAACTACCTTTTTATTTATCTCTTGATGGCCAACAGATTTGAGCATAAAGATACTTAGGTTTAAATTCATTTGTCAGTAAGCTGTTATGTTATTCTAACTCGTGTTTTTGGAAGTGACAGTTCTTATGGAGAGATTACTCCATCAAACTGAGATCAAATCCATGAAAAGTACAACATAAAATACAGGACTATACAAAATAGTATTAGAGCTATACAAAAAGGAAGAATAATCCTAGTTGAGCAACCAACGTTCTGTAGGGTGCTAACCCTGTTCATGGAAATTTACAGATTTAAAATAGAGTAAAAGCCCAATTATTTAGACTATCAGGTATCTTTAATACTAATACCACATTTATATTTAGCTGAACATATGTGTATATACACACTATTATAATTTTTCAATCACCATAAAAACTGAGGTTTTCATCCAAATTAATTTTTAACACAAATTTGGAGAAAATGCTCAAAAATACCTCCTAGGCTTTTTTTTATGCAGTGTTCGCAGGTGCTCTGGGGCGACCTGGCCGGTGCGGAGGGAGAGGACAAGCATTGACACATGGAACCGCCAGAAGGAGAGAGGAAGGCACAGACCTCGAGGCTCAGCACCACCCGGGCCACCAGTGTCTGAACCTTGGGCTTCAGGAACTCAGTTTCAAGGACTACCCCCTGGATCCGAGGGGTAAACAGACTTTTGACAATCCATGCCCCCCAAGGGAGCCAAAGGTCTGTGGCTCCTAGTCACCAAAAGATTTATTTTAAAACGTACATGCCTTTACCCCACTCTCACGGCAGACAGGATGTACTTGGGAAGGGAAACGCAGAAGACAAAAGTGCCCAAGAAATGCTGAAGAGCCTGCCACCGCGAACACAACTCCCCAGTCTCCAAATACGCCTTAAAAGGCACGTGCTTGCTTCTTCCAGAAGACAACCAGACAGACACAGGAAACCGTCCTTGTTAATAAACCCTTCACAGACCAGCAAGGAGGCGGTCCTTGAAAAGAAAGTCCGTGGGGAATTCTACCGTGTGGGTCACTAAGCACAGGGCTGCAAACCGGCGGGGCGGGCGGGGGGCTGTGGGTGCAGAGGAGGGAACCCCACCTGGAGGGAGGGGACCCCGAGCTCCACGTCCGCTCAGCAGGAGCCATCTCTCCGCAGGTGGGCGGGGTGGCCCCTGGCAAGAAGCCCACACCTGCTGCCCCCTGCCTCCACCTGAAGCGCAGGGGCCCTCCTCCTCCTAATCCCGGGGCAGCACTGCATCCCGCTGGCTCGTTCAGCCTTCTCGAACCTTCCGGACACGCGTGTGTGCACACGTGCGTATACGTGTACCTTCGCATCACGACGGTTCGGATGGCCGCGTGCTGAGGTGTCGGTGTCAAACACCAGTCAGCAGGGGATGAGAGATGCTCAGGGTCTCACTCTGCTCCCGATCCTGGCTAACACCCGAGAAGTTTTCTAAAGCTTCTGCCTGGGGAGCATGGGCCACCTCAGTGGAGAAGTCACTTCACCAGGCGAACGGTCTGCTATGCCATGTCCCAGGAGAAGCAAGGCGTTGAAGGACACTCTTCACTCCTGGGTGGGCCCCGAAGCCACTCTGCACAGTCTGCAAGCTCCTCTCTCCAGCACTCACAGCTCACTCTTTCCATCCCCAGCATCCCCAGCCTCTTCTGAGGCGGACAAGCTTCATGTTATTGCAACAAACACAGCAGGTCACATGGACGTTGGCACCACAGGGACCGCCCCTCAGGTCGGTGGTGGTTGGCACCTTCAAGTTGCTACTGAAGAACAAAGGGGCCCAGCGGGGGAGACCGACTCATAACCAGACTCGCCTGCCAGCCGGCGGGTCAGAAAATCTAAGACGGGCAGGAAATGTCCAGAGCACCCTCCCTCGGATGGATGTCCACTCCAGGCAGTGGGGGTCACCAGCCCCACAGCTGGCGAGGGTATTCCTACCAGGGCAGAGCATCACTTCAGAACGTGGAGGGCAGGGGGGAGCTGTACTCAATGGACCTCCCAGTGTTCTGGGCTCTCTGCCTAATTGTGCATCTTTAAAATCTACAAATGACACCTGCCCCAGTCCCAGTAACCCAACAGCAACAGAGTAAGGCACACGCTCACTGATGGCTCCCTGGGGCGGGGGGGTTCTCTAGGGGATTGTGTGCTCGAACCAGCACCCTCAGCCCAGTGAGGTCAGTGGCTGAGGCAGGCAGTGCTTGGGGGCACACAGATCCGGACGCGGTCAGAGTGATCTGGAGCCATGCTCGAAACCAGACGAGTACACCCAGCTGCGAGGTGACAGAGACGGTGCGGCTGCTGTTCTGTTGTCCCCACCACTGCCGCTCCCCACTGCGATCGCTTGTCCACACGAGCTCTTCCACTAGAGGACAGGAAACGTGTGCCCCTTCGTTTGATGCATATGACCACAAAGTCAATGAAACTAGTTCTGTAACTTCAGACGAGTATCTGCTCAGTTCCAGCCCTCTGCCTCGCGGAGGTGGCCCAGGACCATGGCAGGCCTGGCTTCCGCCCCCTCCTTGAGGGGTGGGAGCTGGGTGGGCCTGTTCTTCAGCACGTGAGTGCCCCCTCTTGGGAAGATCCCGTCAGAGGCTCACACGGATTCCTCCGCAGACATGCTGCAAACTGTACCAGGCATGTCTGGTCAGGAGTGGCCAAGAGCCACACACAGATACTTTCCATTTTTCTCTGCAAAGGCCAACCTAGCTATCTAGCGTCCCACTCTCCTTGTTCTTCAGATTAAGCTCAGATTCGTTGGATTTCTTAAAATACAACTAACCAAAACTAGAGAGACAGCAAGATCCATGATTGTCAGAGACTGCGGGGAGGGAAGGATGAATAGGTGGAGCACAAGACATTTTTAGGGCAGGGAAACTACTCTGTGTGATACTGTAACAGTGGCCACATGACATGAGTTTGTCACAACCCACAGAACGTACACCACAAAGAATGAACCCCAACATAAACTGCGGACTTGAGCTCATATCAACATCCATCAAGTGTTCAAAGCAATCAATCATAACAAATGCAGCACCCTAATGCAAGATGTTAGTAACGGGCTGCTTGGCAGGAGGTGGGCATAGGGGAACCCTCTGCACTTCATGTCCAAGTTTTCAGTACACGTAAAAGTCTTCTAAAACAATGTCTTTGGGAAACCCAGACAGTTTTACAGTACTACCAAATGCCAAATTTTTGTCATAAGAGAACGAAAGCCAGAGGACAACTCATTTACTGACATGCCTTGCACCTTTACAACTTGAAAATGTGTCCCCAGGACACTCACGATGTCAAACAGGAAAAGGCCACAGAGACCCGGAGCCAGGACGGGTTCCGGACCTGGGTGAGCCGACACCATCAGCTCTGCCTCCTCTGTTCACAGTTCACTGGCTTTGCTAATTCTGATTTTGTTCGGTTGATTTTGGTTTTAAGTTGCTCCCCTTGCCCCTGCTAAAGCAATCAGAAACCAGAGGCCACACAGAGTCTCTAGCAGAGAAGAGCTTGGGACAGACTCAGGTGCTTGCTAAAGCATCAGAGGTGCTGAGCTAGGGAGCTGGGGGCCAGGTCGCAGGGGCAAGCCTGAGGCTTCAGGACCCATCTGCTCCCCACCTCCCCCCCAGCCACTGAACTCTGTCTCCACCAGCCTGCTCCTACCCCCGACACCCACAAGGCAGAAATGGAAGTAGAAAATGAGAATTTAAGAATGGACTATGTAACCAGGATCAGAGGGGAGGGGAAACACAACTGAAGACACTGAGGAGTAACAAGAAGGCTGACCGAGGGAAGGAGGGGCTGAAGGGGACTATGGGGGACAAAAGAACTCAGAAATGGAAGACCGCCCGAACCAGCGTGCACAAAGACTGGGGATCTGGCAGCACGGGGGAGAGAGGAATTAGGGAGAGCACAGGTCCCTGGAGGTGGAGGACACCACTATCAGCATCCTCTCTCCGGCAGTCATGGTGGGACACACCCAATCAGGGCAGGACAGTCCTCCTGCCAGGTTCAGCTCGGGAGTGTCAGTCCCTGTAAGAACACAGCCTCGTCTGTTTGGCAGGAAATAGGAGAATACCCCAAAAGGTGACTGAAAGAGTAATTTTTAAAAGTTGATGTGACTTCCTTTACTCTGACAGTCTCAGGAGTATAAGGCACAGAAATGAACAAAGAAAAAAGACCACACCCATTTATACATAAGCCCAGACCACACTTACAAGACGTCATTTTATATATTTCAGAAGGAAACAAAACAAAACAAATGTAGACACGTAGACATTCCAAAGAAATGCGGAATTCCAGAGCTTCTTGGGGGCTCACAATTTGAGAATTTAAGGCTATACATTAACTTTTACTTCTCGTTGGTTCTAAAGGTTTTATGAAAGCCTACCTCTCTTTTACTAGGTCTCTTGCTTACCTCTTTCTGACGACCCACAAACCGAATTTTCCTATAGTCTTTATCATCATAGACCTGGGGGGAAAAAAGACCATATATGATGTTTGCAGCCTAATTCTGAAAGAAGTCACTTAATATCAAGAGTAAACATTACAGGAAAGTGTTTTTCTGAACATTCTGGCCATTCGTGATCAAACACAGGAGCGACAAAGGATCACTGTGTAACCAGGGGCGTATTTCGGCAAGACGCCTAAGGTGAGAAGGGGCAATGACGCGAATGGGAAGGAAGCAAGGTGGAGTTGAAAAGGGCAGAGGAGGGGCAGCCCGATTTCCTTCCCCAGGCGGCCGACGGCAGTTCAAAGCCTCTACTGGGCGACACTGTGGTAACGTGGGCACCTGAGTCACCGCCCGGCCTCTGACCACAGTTTAACACCGTCTCTGCGTTTCAGACGAGCTCTTACGACGCACTGTTTGGCACGGCACAAATACGGGTCGGGCGGCGGGCTCCGCTCTGGAGCGGGCGGAAGCCGAGCGCCGGTACACCCCCACTGCCCCGCCTGTCAGGGCCTGAGACCCGACACTCCTCGACCCTAACCTGAACCGGGGCTGGCACAGGATTCGGCCTGCGAGACACGGCGCGAAGCCGCCGCGTCCCGAGAACCCTGCCCACCGGCCAGCGCGTCCCCCGGCCGCAGGCACCGGAGGCACGGGGAGCCGAGAGGGAGGGCGGCCTCCACGCCGCGGCGATTACCTGCCCGGTGTGCGTAATCTTCTCCCCGGTCGGCGACGTCCGCACCGCCAAACACCTGGCGCCCCGGGGCAGGTTCAGCGCCGCCGTGCCGCTCCGGCCCAGCAGCCGGCAGAAGGTCACTGCCGCCGCCATCTTGTGGGCTGACCCCTGACCCGGCGCACCGACACGCTGACGCATGCGCACAGCTTCGCAGGGCCCTCGCGGCCGGGATTTAGAGCGCTTTGGGGGAGTCGCGCACGCGCGGTGCGCTCGGGCTAATGCAGCCCTACAGGTGCCGCGGCTGGGCTGGGGCTCAGAAAAAGGCGGGAGATTTTACGTGCAACATTAGCTCTTAGCAGCTGTTGGTGATTCCTACCTGGGGTAGGACAGGGGAGGATGGAAAATGAAGGTGCACTTTTCACATTCGATGGTAATAATCATGGGGGGGTTATATAGCGAATGTTTTTATTAGTGAAGGGTCCTTGCCTAGAGCGAACTGTAAGTCCATTCACGTTGCGCAGTGCGCACTTCTGTGTGGCCATGGGGACAGCATGTTTTGGGATTTCTGAAGCAGAGCTCCATTGAAGCAACCAGTAAAGCACAATCAATGTCATCCCCCATGCAGATCAGCCCCGAAGGCCCCCTGCTCTAGAGCACACCTGGGCAGACTCCGGCTCGCCGTCCCGGGGCTTCCCTCCCCGAACTGCCTACCCGTTAATAGACCGGTCAGGAGGGTCAGTCACGCGGGGCCAGCGCCCAGATGGACAAGGGCGGTGGGTATGGGGGGGTAGACTCAGAGCTGGGGTGACCTCCCCCCCCCCAGGAGCTGAGTGCACCCACAGCCTGGACTCCAGGAGGTGGAGATGATGAGAGACTAGATGCACTGAAAACCTCTCGGAACGGAAGGATGCCCACAGACAGGTACCCACAGGCAGGCCCGAAGCTCACCTGGGCAGATGTCGTGGTGGGGCGTGCAGATGGACCGTCGTCTGCAGGTCGCCTTCGTGCACGGACAACAGATGGGTGTGTTCGCGACACATACACGGAACGGCAGGTGTACTGAGTTCATTGTGGGCTCTGGTGATGGGTACATGCGGGCTCGCCGGAGTCTTTCAACTTTTATTGGAATGTTTCATAATAAAAGGTTGGAGGGGGAAAAAAACATATTTAACTGCAACTGGTTAGGACGACTGCTTATCTCCACTTCTTCCCTGAGCCTTGCCTCCTTTCCCCCAGGATGTCCACTTAATACAAACAGTGGGTTCTTCTAGATTTTGCTTTGACTTCGGTATTCGCCTGTTTTCTAAAAATGTCTAGTTGGTTGTGGTTTCTTTTGCATTCTGGATATCTATTTCCGTTCCCATTTTGACATTCTCCAAAACCATTGACACCCTGTGGCGGGAAGGGGTCCCAGGTGGAGATCACAGGCGCGCTGGTGACTCGGCCTCGGCGCCCGGCACCTTGGGGATGGCCACGTGATCCTGCCGCCATCTTTCTTTCTGGCGGACAGTCCGGGCGGTGGCGTCCCCGCCCCATTGCGCAGGCGCTTGCGAGGCGCGCTTCCGGCCGCCGTGGTCGCCTTGTCAGGTCAGGGGTCCCAGGGGTCGCGAGGGGTGGGGGGCCGGGGCGGCAGCTGGTGCGGGGCCTCGGGGGTCCCTGGGTGCGCCACGGCCTCAGGCCCTCCGCGCCCCGGACCCTGCCGCCGAGAAGGGCCGCCTACGTGCTGTCCCCTGCCGGCGGGCACGTCCGGGGCCGGCGCTTCCTGCCGCGTCCCGGGCCCTCTGCGACCGCCGCGGGGCCGGGGGTGCAGAGTGCGGGCGGAGGGGCGGGGGCTCGCGGGGTGGGGGTGGGGGTGGAGCCTGTTGGCAAAGCTCTCCATCGTGCGCGGAGACCTTAAGGATTGCTTTTCTCTTCCCGGTAGATTCGGCCGCAGCATGGCATCCGTGCTGGTGACGAAGGTGCTGGCGTCCGCCCTGAGCCCTCTGCTCCGTCGGAGGCCTCCCCCGGCGATGCCCCGCGCGCTCTCCACTCTGCTGCCCGGACCCCTTCACACTGCAGGTGCCGCTGGTGCGAAGCCCAGGGCGTGGGGGCCCGCGGGGCTGCCCGGCCTGCAGCTGCCCGGCCTGCAGCTTGCCCTGGGGTTCAAGACCAAGGGCGTCATCAAGGAGCGCTGCAGGGACTGTTACCGGGTGAAGAGGCGCGGGCGCTGGTTCATCTACTGCAAAACGAACCCAAGGCACAAGCAGAGACAGATGTAGTTCCGGTCACTAAAAGAACGTGCAGAACTGCATCACTTCCTTGAGGAATGGTCCCTCCTATCGAAAGAAAAATAAAACGTAAACACTGCCTAATCTTTGTCGACCCTCAAGTCTTCTTGACTCTACCGCCAGGGCACTCACTTCCTGTAGCAGCCCAGTCCCATCAGCTAGAGAAGCAGATCCCGGAACGGGAAATGCATCATTTTCATCTTCTGTGCAAGCTGTGTGTGCTCAGGCTGGAGGGCCGAAGGTAAGGCAGGCGGAGAGCTGATCGTGCCCCCGAGGTCCCAGTGCAACCTGGTTCCCTGGGAAGGACGGCCGAGCTCAGCCTGCTTCTGCGTGCAGCTAGAGCGCTGCTCTTAGGGGACTGCAGGTTCCTTTTCTCAGCATATTCCTGTCTTGAGGATAAGTGTGAAAGCCTAGAAAGCGATTTTTAAGTCAAGGACAATTCAACTTTCCATATGCAAAGGTATTTCAGAGATCGGTTAAGCGTGTCTGTCATCTTTCATGAGACACGAACATGCACACGTGTGGTATGTGCATGTGTTTGTACATGTGTGTGGTGTGTGTGCATTTCTGCACCATGCACATGGGCGTGTTTGTGTGTGTGTGTGTGTGTGTGTGTGCTGAGCAGAGCGGCTCTGGTACCCTCTGCAGGCGTGTGGCCTGGAGCCAGGGGCACGGATGTTCCTGTGTCTCCTGTCTTAGCGTTATGGCTGCCTCACCCACATGGTTTGAGCTCCACACAGTGGCCCTCCCTGGCCACCTTCCTGTCCAGGCCGCGGCTGGAGCGGATTATACTAGGTGGGATGGAGTACAGGGTGGTGAGTGTGGGTAAGCAGCATGTGCAGAGGCCCGTGAAGGCCTGGCACACAGACTGGGATTCCTCAGTCATGCTGCTCCCCAGGAGGCGGGGTCCAGGCTGAGACCTGCAGGACCAGGGAGGGTGAGTTGCTGGGGCGGCGCCAGTGAGGATCCGAGCAGCATCGTGCACGTGGAAAACTGGATGACCCCACAGCCCACGGGCAGCTCTGTGAGCCACGCTCAGGCACTGGGCACATAGTCCTGGCCTTGGGGGTCCTGACTGTGGTACCCAGATCCCCAGCACAGAGCCCAGGAAAAGGAAAAGAAGAAAATGCTCTTCCCTGGAGCACTTTATCCTGGGAGAAGGTGGGATTCTGCTAGTTCTGCTGGAGTAAAGACCTTTCCTCCTCATTGCTTCAAGTACTTCCGGGACTCATGCCCTGGTTTAGGTGCAGCCAGGCCTCGCAGAGACTGTAACACAGAGATTTGCAACATAATATGTTTTATTTGAATTGAACTGTGTTGAGTGCAGATGCTGTAAGGGTGATAATTACCTGTCTAGATTTCAGTCTCAGAAGGACTGCAGGATAGGTCTGTGACATTAGGCGGGTTCTCCCCCTCAGCAGTGCTGGCTCTCAGGACAGATTTTTCTCTGTACCTGGCTGTCCAGGGCACTGTAGGGTGCAGCATCCTTGGCCCCCTCCCCCTGGGTGCCAGGAGCACCCTCATCCTGGTCGTGACAACCAGAAATACCTCCAGACATGGCCAAGGGTCCCCGGGGGCACATTCCCCCCTAGGGGCTAATACTACTCACCCCTCCCCACAGGTTCATCCGAGAACTGAAGCCCTGGGCTGGGCAGAGCCTGTTTCTGTCCTGCTTTGCCCTCAGTCGGCTACAACACCTGGTCCATTGTAGGCACTCAACAAATGCATGTGGAATCACATGGCAATGACATGACAATGCCCCCTTATAAACAGCCTTTTGTCGTCTCCACTTAGCTGGAGCAGGCTCATCCTAGAAGGCTAAGCCCACAGCTTTGTTCTGGAGAGTTGGCCGACGGGTCCTGTCCATATGCAGCTACCTCCCACGTGGGGCAGAAGTTTGGTGCTGCAGTGGTCTAGGACACACATACACCTTCTTTTCAGTTGTTTTCTCCTCGACAGGTCAGTGTGAGGTCTTTACTTGCCCTTGTGAGTGTCTGGCTCTGTGCGGGGCTGACAGTGTTGGTGTTATGTATACAGGCATTCGAAGGACAGGCAGTAATGGGTGTACTGAAGCTGTGGGGCCCAAGTCCGCAGGAACCTGGGATTATAATTGACAAGCTGGAATTCTAACAGGGCGCTGATAGGTTTTTAAATCATTTGTTCCTCTTGGAATTATTAGTCTCTCTGATCTGAGGTGACAACCTGTGTGCTGACCAAACCCTCGTTATGGCTCAGTTACTTTCCAGTATCTGGATAGACCAGCATTTACAGCCCGGAGATTCCGGCGTAGCAACAAACTTGGTGTAGGCAGCAGGCAAACTTGTCCAGCTCATTCATGTCTGTATTGTCCATGCTTTCCACGAGGCGAATACTTGCTGTAAAGACCGTGTGATCTGAAAAACCTAAAAATACTTACAATCTGAGTTACATTTGCAGAAAAAGTGTGCCAGCTCCTTGTTTAGATCATTAAAGTAAATCCCATCTTACCCTGGGATTTGACTTCACAAGGACCACAACCTACCGGAAACGTTCCATGGTTTTTCCTTTACCCACACAATGAGAAGGATCTTTGTATTTGTAAGTGCTAGCCATGAACAAATAGAAGTTGAGATAAAAGTACTGTTTATAATAACACCCAGACCATGAAATGTTTAGATACCAGTCTAACAAAATTTATACAATTCCATATACTTAAAATTATAAAACACTGTTGAAAGAATTTGAGTAAGATCTAAATGTTAAGCTATACCATGTTTATGGAGTAGAATATTTGATATTGTCAATTCTCTCCAAACTGATCTACAAATTCAATAATATATATAAATAAAAATCACAGCAGGAATTTTTTACAAAATCTATGGTTATTCAAAATTTTATATGGAGAGGCAAAGTATGCAAAAGAGCCAAAATTTTGAAAATGCAGAGAAATGTTGAAGGAAGCCTGCTTTACGTGAATGTTTATGGTGGCTTTATTTATAATTGAAACAAAACAACCACTGAAAACAGTCTGCGTGTCCCACAGCTGGGGAATGGATCAGTCAAGTGTGGTGCATTCTTACAATGGAATACTTAGCAGCAAATAGGAAAGAAGTGATACACATGAAAACATGAATGAATCCTAGATCCACCACACTGATGATAGAAGCCTGCACTCAGAAAAGTACATACTTCATGATTCCAATGCTGTGACATTATGGAAAAGTCCAAATTATGGGCACAGAAGATCTGTTGCTAGGAGCTGAGGGTGGGGAGCCAGGGTTGCCTACAAAGGGACATGAAGGAATACTTTCGGGTGATGGAATTGTTCTATGTGTTGATAATGGTAGCAGTTTCATGACAACATATGCTTATAAAACTCATAGAACTTTACTTCAGTAGACCTTGCAAAATAATTCCCCAGTGGAATTTCTAGATGACAATAAAGATCAAATAAAGATCAAAAAAAAAAAAGGGAACTCAGTGAGTTGTGGGACCGTAGCCAGCATTCTGTCATAAATCGCACTGCTGCCCTGGGGGAGGGTGGAGAAAAAACAGCAGTTGAAGAAATAATGGGCAAAATGTTTCCATATTTGATGAAAACAATAAATCCACAAAGCCAAGAAGCTTAGCAAACCTTAATCAGGAGGAATATAAAGGAAACCATATAATACATTATTATCAGATAGAGGAAACCTGTAAAACACAGACAAAGAAACAAGACTCACTCCTCACAGAGGGACAAAAACAGCCGCACACTTATCAGAGACCATGAAGCCCAAAGACAGTAAAACGTCTTTAAGGAGCTGGGAAGAACTGCAATCTAGAAATCTATGTCCAGTGAGAACCTCTCAAAACTGAAGTGAAAGACAAGAGTTGGGAGCGTTCAAATGGAAACACAGAGCTACATAAAGAGGTCAATCAAGCTCAAAATAGTAACTATTTGGGTGAAGATGAAAGATATTTTTTCCTCATTTAAATATCCTTCTGAAAAAACAATTTAAAGAAACAATAATGGCAAAGTACCATGGTGCCCATGGCCTCCATAGGACTGCAGGGTGAGAGCACGCCAGCACGAGGATGGGAGCAGACGTTCGTGAGGTTCCTGCAAACATTGTGTGAAGGCCAACTGTGACATCACAGTGTGTACTATACACATTGGACCAGCCACCAAGAAAATAAAAAGACAAGTGTAATAAGCCAATAATGGAGAAATTATGCAATATTAAAATAATTAAGAATACCAAAAGAGGAAAAAGGAATAATGCATTGTTATGATAAGTAGGAAATGAAAGATAAGACCAATGATTTAAATTCAGCCTTATTGGTAATCACAGCATGTGTACATGTGCAAGTGTCCTGGTCAAACAGCAGAGAGTGTCAGATTGTATGAAAAACAAGACTTGGGGCACCCGGGTGGCTCAGTTGGTTGAGGATCTGACTCTTGATTTCAGCTAGGGTCAGGATCTCAGGGTCCTGGGATTGAACCCTGTGTCGGGCTCCACACTCAACAGGGAGTCTGCTTGAGATTCTCTCCCCCTCTCCCTCTGTCCGCCACCCCCCCCGCTCTCTCATGCTCTCTCTAAAAAATAAATAAATCTTAAAAAAGAAAAAGCAAGACTCAAGTATATGCAGTCTGTGAGGAACCTATTTTAAATGTAATTGAAAGAGAGGATAAATGATAGAAGAAATATCATTCAGACAATAATCAAAGGAAAGCTGGAGGGATTATACTAATGTTGGTCAAAGTAGATTTGATCACCAAGCCTTACCAGGTATAATGATGAGTTAATCAAGAACAGATAACAGTATTAAATCTCTATGCATTTAATAACAGAGCTTCAAAATACACAAAGCAAAAATTTATAGAACTACAAGGAGAAACAAATAAAATTCATGATTGGAGATATCAATACTTCTCTTTCAATAACTGATAGGAAAAGTAGGCAGAAAATATTAAGGATGCAGAAGATTTGAACAACACCATCAACCAATTTAATCTAATCTATATTTAT